GATGTGAGCATATCTCTGGTGATGGTCTGGTTATGTACAGAGAATATAGCTTCCTTCATTGGGTCTTGCTGTTTGGGCATTGTTAGGCGCCTCGAAAGGGATGTTGTTGTCTTGCCTATATATTGAGTTCGTTGGGATTGACAGACCCAATTGGGCACGGGAAGACATAGGCATAGGCGACATTCGTCTCTCTCAAGGGGCATTGTTTGGTGTGGGAAGAGGTCACATATCTGTCAAGAAAGTTTTCCAGGACGCTTTCATTCTGTGGGCCGTGGAGCAGATGTTCCTGTAGAGCATTTTAATTCTACAGGAACCACCTTACCTACCCTTCACCACCTCCCCTACCCTTCACCACCTTCCCTACCCTTCACCACCTTCCCTACCCTTACCTTACCTTCTACCTACCCTTCACCACCTCCCTACCCTTCACCCCTCCCTCTCCTCACCACCTTCCCCCTTCACCACCTCCCCTACCCTTCACCACCTACCTACCCTTCACCACCTTCCCCTTCACCACCTCCCCACCTTCACCACCTTCCCTACCCTTCACCACCTCCCCTACCCTCCCCTACCCTTCACCTCCCCACCTTCCCACCTCCCTACCCTTCACCACCTTCCCTACCCTTCACCACCTTCTCCTTCACCACACCCTTCACCACCTTCCCTACCCTTCACCACCTTACCTACCTTCCCCCTTCACCACCTTACCTACCCTCACCACTCCCCTTCACCACCTTCCCTCTCCTTCACCACCCTTACCTACCCTTCACCACCCTTCACCACCTCCCCTAACCCTACCCTTCACCACCTTCCCTCTCCTTCACCACCTTCCCTACCCTTCACCACCTTCCCTACCCTTCACCACCTTCCCTACCCTTCACTACCCTTCACCACCTTCCCTACCCTTCACCACCTTCCCTACCCTTCACCACCTTCCCTACCCTTCACCACCTTACCTACCCTTCACCACCTTCCCTACCCTTCACCACCTTCCCTACCCTTCACCACCTTCCCTCTCCTTCACCACCTTCCCTACCCTTCACCACCTTACCTACCCTTCACCACCTTCCCTACCCTTCACCACCTTCCCTCTCCTTCACCACCTTCCCTACCCTTCACCACCTTCCCTACCCTTCACCACCTTCCCTCTCCTTCACCACCTTCCCTACCCTTCACCACCTTCCCTACCCTTCACCACCTTCCCTACCCTTCACCACCTTCCCTACCCTTCACCACCTTACCTACCCTTCACCACCTCCCCTACCCTTCACCACCTTCCCTACCCTTCACCACCTTCCCTACCCTTCACCACCTTCCCTACCCTTCACCACCTTCCCTCTCCTTCACCACCTTCCCTACCCTTCACCACCTTACCTACCCTTCACCACCTCCCCTACCCTTCACCACCTTCCCTCTCCTTCACCACCTTCCCTACCCTTCACCACCTTCCCTACCCTTCACCACCTTCCCCTACCCTTCACCACCTTCCCTACCCTTCACCACCTTCCCTACCCTTCACCACCTTCCCTACCCTTCACCACCTTCCCTACCCTTCACCACCTTCCCTACCCTTCACCACCTTCCCTACCCTTCACCACCTTCCCTACCCTTCACCACCTTCCCTACCCTTCACCACCTTCCCTACCCTTCACCACCTTACCTACCCTTCACCACCTCCCCTACCCTTCACCACCTTCCCTCTCCTTCACCACCTTCCCTACCCTTCACCACCTTCCCTACCCTTCACCACCTCCCCTACCCTTCACCACCTTCCCTACCCTTCACCACCTTCCCTACCCTTCACCACCTTCCCTACCCTTCACCACCTTCCCTACCCTTCACCACCTTCCCTACCCTTCACCACCTTCCCTACCCTTCACCGCCTTCCCTACCCTTCACCACCTTCCCTACCCTTCACCACCTTCCCTACCCTTCACCACCTTCCCTACCCTTCACCACCTTCCCTACCCTTCACATTACATTATGTACAGTACAAGCCCAGGAGGCGCGGGGACGTGTGCTAGTGGAGCTCCTAGGGCTTAACCCAGCTGCTGGGTGAAGAGGTGGAGCTCCTGGGGCTTAACCCAGGTGCTGGGTGAAGATGGAGGAGCTCCTAGGGCTTAACCCAGCTGCTGGGTGAAGACGGAGGAGCTCCTAGGGCTTAACCCAGCTGCTGGGTGAAGAGGGGGAGCTCCTAGGGCTTAACCCAGGTGCTGGTGAAGATGGAGGAGCTCCTAGGGCTTAACCCAGCTGCTGGGTGAAGATGGAGGAGCTCCTAGGGCTTAACCCAGCTGCTGGGTGAAGAGGGGGAGCTCCTAGGGCTTAACCCAGCTGCTGGGTGAAGATGGAGGAGCTCCTAGGGCTTAACCCAGCTGCTGGGTGAAGATGGAGGAGCTCCTAGGGCTTAACCCAGCTGCTGGGTGAAGAGGGGGAGCTCCTAGGGCTTAACCCAGGTGCTGGGTGAAGAGGTGGAGCTCCTAGGGCTTAACCCAGCTGCTGGGTGAAGAGGTGGAGCTCCTGGGGCTTAACCCAGCTGCTGGGTTAAGCCCTGTGCACAGTGTTGTCATGTAGGAGGTGTTGTCGCTCTCAGTGGTTTGGCAACACTGCTGGTGGTGATTATCAGGTCTTCTTGCTCATATTCATCTGGTGTTGCAGGTGTGGTGGGTGTTGCAGGTGTTGCAGGTGTGTTGGGTGTTGCAGCAACACCTGTACAGGGAAGGGAAGGCAACTATCAGGGAAAAGCGCCAAGCCTTTAGAACTATATAGCACTGGGAAGGGGTCAGGATCAGGATCTGGGGTGGGACGGGGGAAAGGAATGGTGCCCAACCACTTGTGGACGGTCGGGGATTGAACGCCGACCCTGGCGCTACCGTCGGACAGACAGACAGACAATGTCTCCTGGGAACATTGTGAGGTGTGAGGGATGGCCACACCTCGAACATTGTGAGGTGTGAGGGATGGCCACACCTGGAACATTGTGAGGTGTGAGGGGTGGCCACACCTGGAACATTGTGAGGTGTGTGAGGGATGGCCACACCTGGAACATTGTGAGGTGTGAGGGATGGCCACACCTGGAACATTGTGAGGTGTGTGAGGGATGGCCACACCTGGAACATTGTGAGGTGTGAGGGGTGGCCACACCTGGAACACTGTGAGGTGTGAGGGGTGGCCACACCTGGAACACTGTGAGGTGTGAGGGGTGGCCACACCTGGAACATTGTGAGGTGTGAGGGATGGCCACACCTGGAACATTGTGAGGTGTGAGGGATGGCCACACCTGGAACATTGTGAGGTGTGAGGTGTGGCCACACCTGGAACATTGTGAGGTGTGAGGGATGGCTACACCTGGAATATTGTGAGGTGTGAGGGATGGCCACACCTGTAACACTGTGAGGTGTGAGGGGTGGCCACACCTGGAACATTGTGAGGTGTGAGGGGTGGCCACACCTGGAACATTGTGAGGTGTGAGGGGTGGCCACACCTGGAATATTGTGAGGTGTGAGGGATGGCCACACCTGGAACATTGTGAGGTGTGAGGGATGGCCACACCTCGAACATTGTGAGGTGTGAGGGATGGCCACACCTCGAACATTGTGAGGTGTGAGGGGTGGCCACACCTGGAACATTGTGAGTGTGAGGGATGGCCACACCTCGAACATTGTGAGGTGTGAGGGATGGCCACACCTCGAACATTGTGAGGTGTGAGGGATGGCCACACCTGGAATATTGTGAAGGAAGGTGTAATGTGACAGCGCCAAGTGAAGGCAGACAGCGCCAAGTGAAGGCAGACAGCGCCAAGTGAAGGCAGACAGCGCCAAGTGAAGGCAGACAGCGCCAAGTAAATAAATAAAATAAATGTTTATTTAGGTAAGGTACATACATACAAGAGAGTTTACAAAGAATGATAGATTTATAGATAGAGCTAGTACATACAATGCCTAAAGCCACTATTACGCAAAGCGTTTCGGGCAGGAAAAACATTAATGACTAAAACTTAATACTAATTGAGTATAAAGAATAAAATGGGTTGAGAACAAATAAAAATAGAGATAAAAAAGGGGGGAACATGGCTGAAAAAGCAGCACAAATACAATTAGGTCGACAAACAGCGTTGTTAAACAAACCAGACAATGGTTGACAATAGAAGGGTAAGGTAGGTTACAGGGAATTTATTAGGTATAGCTTCGTTTTTATCTTAAACTGGTTGAGAGAGGTACAGTCTTTAACATGGTTGGGAAGGTCATTCCACATTCTGGGTCCCTTGATTTGTAGAGCATTTCTAGTTTGATTAAGTCGTACTCTAGGAATATCAAAACTGTTTTTATTTCTGGTGTGGTGCTCATGGGTTCTGTTACAACCTTCAATGAAGCTTTTGAGGTCAGGATTGGCATTACAGTTCAGCGTTTTATATATGTATAATACACATGAGAGAATGTGCAGTGACTTAATATCTAACATATTCAGAGATTTAAGTAGGGGTATCGGCAGGTGAAGGCAGCCAGCGCCAGGTGAAGGCAGCCAGTGCCAGGTGAAGGCAGCCAGTGCCAGGTGAAGGCAGCTAGCGCCAGGTTAAGGCAGCCAGCGCCAGGTGAAGGCAGCCAGCGCCAGGTGAAGGCAGCCAGCGCCAGGTGAAGGCAGCCAGCGCCAGGTGAAGGCAGCCAGCGCCAGGTGAAGGCAGACAGCGCCAGGTGAAGGCAGCCAGCGCCAGGTGAAGGCAGACAGCGCCAGGTGAAGGCAGCCAGCGCCAGGTGAAGGCAGACAGCGCCAGGTGAAGGCAGCCAGCGCCAGGTGAAGGCAGACAGCGCCAGGTGAAGGCAGCCAGCGCCAGGTGAAGGCAGACAGCGCCAGGTGAAGGCAGACAGCGCCAGGTGAAGGCAGACAGCGCCAGGTGAAGGCAGCCAGCGCCAGGTGAAGGCAGCCAGCGCCAGGTGAAGGCAGCCAAGCGGTGACAGAAAACGCTATGGCTGGCGGAGGTTGCGGGAGCGGCCGCCAGGTGGCTCGCGCCACCATCAGCTGATCCTCCCCGCCAGTGTCGCTCGGGTCTCTCCTGTGAACGTGTCGGCGGACCGCCTCACACCCTATCTTTCATGCCGTTCCAAATTGAAATCGAACGCGATATGGAGGAGGAGGATCTCCGTATCAGTGTGGTGGACGTTTACGACCTGGCGTCGGAGATCGGCAAGGAATTCGAGAAGATGATAGACAGGAACGGGGCGGAGGCGGTGACGGGGCTGATGCCGAGAGTGATCAGCGCCCTGGAGCAGCTGGAGAAGCTGGCCTCCAGGCACGAGTCCACCTCCTCCTATATACAGGAGCTGAGGACCACCATCATCCACCTGGAGAACGAGAAGATCGGCAAGGCGGAGGACAGGCAGCGCTACGAGAGGGTGAGCCCAACCGCCTCTCCTATATACGCCACATGCATGCCCGTGACGCACGCCTGCACGCATGACGCACGCGCATTTGCACGCACATGCATGCACAGCACAGCTGTTGTGGGGGGTTGAGTGGGGGGGGGAGGGATATTGGTGGAGGGGATGACAGGTGTTCGTGAAGGGGGGCGGGGGTGTTGTTGACAGTCTGGGTGACCTTGTCGGGTCCCTCCCTGCATTCCTGGCCCCCTTCCTCTCACCCACGCCCACGCTGCCTTGACCCCCACGCCCACGCTGCCTTGTCCCCCACGCTGCCTTGTCCCCCACGCCCACGCTGCCTTGTCCCCCACGCCCACGCTACCTTGACCCCCACGCCCACGCTGGCTTGTCGCCCACGCTACCTTGACCCCCACGCCCACGCTGGCTTGTCCCCCACGCCCACGCTGCCTTGTCCCCCCCACGTCCACGCTGCCTTGACCCCCACGCTGCCTTGTCCCCCACGCCCACGCTGGCTTGTCCCCCACGCCCACGCTGGCTTGTCCCCCACGCCCACGCTGGCTTGTCCCCCACGCCCACGCTGCCTTGTCCCCCACGCCCACGCTGCCTTGTCCCCCACGCCCACGCTGCCTTGTCCCCCACGCCCACGCTGCCTTGTCCCCCACGCCCACGCCTCCTTGCCCCCCACGCCCACGCTGCCTTGTCGCCCACGCTGCCTTGACCCCCCACGCTGCCTTGTCCCCCACGCCCACGCTGCCTTGTCCCCCACGCCCACGCTGCCTTGTCCCCCACGCCGCCTTGTCCCCCACGCCGCCTTGTCCCCCCCCTGCGCCGCCTTGTCCCCCACGCCCACGCCGCCTTGTCCCCCCCCCACGCCGCCTTGTCCCCCCCACGCCGCCTTGTCCCCCCCCTGCGCCGCCTTGTCCCCCCCCACGCCGCCTTGTCCCCCCCCCACGCCGCCTTGTCCCCCCCCCACGCCGCCTTGTCCCCCCCCACGCCGCCTTGTCCCCCCCCCACGCCGCCTTGTCCCCCCCCCACGCCGCCTTGTCCCCCCCCACGCCGCCTTGTCCCCCCCCACGCCGCCTTGTCTCCCCCCCACGCCGCCTTGTCCCCCCCCCCACGCCGCCTTGTCCCCCCCACGCCGCCTTGTCCCCCCCCCACGCCGCCTTGTCCCCCCCCACGCCGCCTTGTCCCCCCCCCACGCCGCCTTGTCCCCCCCCCACGCCGCCTTGTCCCCCCCCCACGCCGCCTTGTCCCCCCCCCACGCCGCCTTGTCCCCCCCCCACGCCGCCTTGTCCCCCCCCCACGCCGCCTTGTCCCCCCCCCACGCCGCCTTGTCCCCCCCCACGCCGCCTTGTCCCCCCCCCCCACGCCGCCTTGTCCCCCCCCCACGCCGCCTTGTCCCCCCACGCCGCCTTGTCCCCCCCACGCCCACGCTGCGTTGGGGGTGGGACCGTGGCTGGTGGGGTCCACGGGTGGGACCGTGGCTGGTGGGGTCCACGGGTGGGACCGTGGCTGGTGGGGTCCACGGGTGGGACCGTGGCTGTGTAACACGGGTTTGGGTTTCTCTCTCTACTTCTCTTTCTTTCTTTACCCTCTACCCGTATTCTTACTTTTATTTCTAAACCAAGGGACTCCAAAACTTTTAACAAAGCCAACTCCACGCCACGTGGTCCTAAGACGATTGACCGACTTAGGATTCTACACCCAGTATGACGTGACCTAGGCTCTGAGCAAAACCCTTGAGTCGCCTCTACGCTGCCACCACCAGACCAGTAACACAGAGCAATGATCGAGGTCTGGATCGATCACGCTAATTAATCAACCTTGGGGCTTGATCCCCACTAGTAGTTTATAACCTCGGAAACTTGAGTGTGGAATAAATTACACGGTAATGATAATTCCGATTCGATGTTAGAATCGGCGCCCAATCCAACTTTACCTCATGTGGACCACGTGACCAGGACAAGTTTACACATAACCAAATGGAAACAATGAAATGCAAAATATTAACAAATTTAATTTATTAAAAGAAAAACTAAAACAAAATCTAAATATGTTCACTCCCTATCACTTTAACACTCCCTACTTGACCTGAGTGGCAAATGAGAAGACTATCCCTATAATTAACAATAGCAACTATACCTTGGGCGACCACAGCTCTAGATGTTGGGCTGGTCTTGGGGAGAGGTAAGATGGTTGGCCTCTTATCCCCGCTGCTCCCGTTTCCACACTGATTTGTCCTCGTCTGGCCTAGCCCAGACTAGAACATTGTATCCTTCCGCCTAGTCAAAGTTTTACCAAGTTACTAGCCAGGTTTAAGTTATAACAATTAACCTCTGTTGTACTTAATTGATCCAGACTGGTTGAATTATTTTACTGAATTAAATTACAAACATCTAACGGCAGAGCTGTTCCCGATCACAAAAATGGTTATTAAAACTTTGAGAAATAGTAGACCTGTCAACCCCTGATGACCTATGACCGCCGGTCACTCCGCTTTACAAGTTAGATCTGATTCGTGACGTCACTGATGGTGACTTAAACTCAATAATTAGAATACTCTTGATATTGTACCCAGTACTATTATACAATACAATTTTAATGCAAAATGAATAAAGGCTAATTTTCTCTAAATTACTGAATACTATAGGATGGTTCATTATACGCAGCTATGAACAAAGCGTCGGTTATTTCCACCGGAATTCCCCTGGGGGTCAGGTCCATGCGGGCTCAGCTTCCCATTCTCTTTTGGATAAACCACCTGGATAATTCTTACAACAGCCTAGTCTGGCTGGGGGTCCACGGGTGGGACCGTGGCTGGTGGGGTCCACGGGTGGGACCGTGGCTGGTGGGGTCCACGGGTGGGACCGTGGCTGGTGGGGTCCACGGGTGGGACCGTGGCTGGTGGGGTCCACGGGTGGGACCGTGGCTGGTGGGGTCCACGGGTGGGACCGTGGCTGGTGGGGTCCGCGGGTGGGACCGTGGGCTGGTCCGCGGGTCCGTGGCTGGTGGGTCCGCGGGTGGGACCGTGGCTGGTGGGGTCCGCGGGTCCGCGGGTGGGACCGTGGCTGGGACCGTGGCTGGTGGGGTGGGGTGGGACCGTGGCTGGTGGGGTCCGCGGGTGGGACCGTGGCTGGTGGGGTCCGCGGGTGGGACCGTGGCTGGTGGGGTCCGCGGGTGGGACCGTGGCTGGTGGGGTCCGCGGGTGGGACCGTGGCTGGTGGGGTCCGCGGGTGGGACCGTGGCTGGTGGGGTCCGCGGGTGGGACCGTGGCTGGTGGGGTCCACGGGTGGGACCGTGGCTGGTAAAGATGAATGATACACAAGGTTGGGAACACCTCCCCGGGCCACCTACTGACCTTTAGCCATTTTAGTTTCATCAGAGGCAAAAGATTCTTAACATACAAATGCAGCCTCCTCGTCTTGAAGGGCAGTTTATAAGTGAGACTAGGCCTACACAAGCTTGTTGCACAATGTTGCTTTGCATGCCCGCCTCTAACTTACATGGATATTTTGGGACGTAGGCAGCCACAGTCGAGGGATATGTTTGATGGTGCTGCTGGAACACAGTTGTGTTAAGTTGCCAATAATGGTGGGTGTATGTTGCTCTGAGGACAGTGTCGGACGACCTGCGTGAGAGGCAGAGGAGGAGAGTAGCCATAGGAAGGTTTCATCTTTGTCACGAAGGATAGGGGACTTAGGAAGACTATAAGGCCTTCTACAGCTTTTGTCAAGAACTTCAACTCATTCGCCGTGTTGGAGGACGAGTGATGTAGGAAGGTCCGGGTAACGCCGGGAGCGTCGGCAAAGGAAGTAAGAGAATTTCGGTTATGGATGATTCCCAGGTGAGGTATTTGGATAGAACCGTTTGTGCCAGAAATATGGGGAGCAGGTTAGGGGTTGTTATCCGGGAGCAGGAATGGGCGATATTGTAAACAATATGAATGTGATATTGTGGCTGGAAATGGGAACAAACCTGTTAATTGACTCAGTGCCGGTGGTAATGAAGGAGGACGAGTTAGGAGTGAGGCACTGATTCAGAGGTTAAAAACACCAGTAGAAATAGTTACGAGTAAGGGGAGGGATTCCCATCATATGTGGCGTTCTTCAGAGAAGGGGGTTGGGGTTGGAAATAGATGTTTCTCTAGGGCATTTGAAATCAGTTATCACCAGGGAAATATTGCAAATCGAAAGCAATATTGATAAAAATTGATAACTGGGAAGGGGGGGGGGGAATGTATTTGGCAATTCGTTGGAATCTGTGGTTGGAGGGTTTGTTTATACTGTTAGTTGATAGTGGGATGGGGAGGGAGACAATAACAGTTCGTGTTGGCAGGGAGAAGTATGGGTAAAAGGAACAGGGAAGGAGAAGGGCCTCAAGATAACAATACACTTAAGGTATATTACACAAATAGTAGAAGTCTAAGGAACAAAATATACGATTTAAATGTTTAAATGCTCTTTTCTGTACAGCAACAATAGGTATTGCAGTAACTGAAACATGGACAAATGTAGAAAACAAGGAACTATTTGCTGAATATCAAATAAACGGATTTAGTAATTATGTCATGGGTGACTTTAATTTTAGTGGAATAAACTGGCTTAAACAGGGAATACGGAAGCAGAAGATTTAGAATTAGTTGACGATAGTGGGAAGAGTGATACTACCAAAACCAGATTAAACATAGAATGGAATAGACGTGTAAGCGAGAATTTTGTTAAGTGTCAGAATTCCGGAAAACTGATTTTAATGGACTAATTCTTTGATGGGATAGATTGGACAGACCTGGGCCTGGGGGGTGGGCCGGTAATGGAGCGAGATGTGAACCTCGCGATGAATGACGTAACAAATCGATGTGGATCAAAATTTAAGTTTAAAAATGTTGGAAGCAAAGCCCATAAAAATTGATTAGATCGAATAATAACAACCCCAAATGGATAACTATGTCTGAAGAACCTTATATGTTAAAATGAAGCTTGGTACAAAAGGAATGAAAATGGAAAAGTCATTTTAGA